GCAATTCTGACTTTTTTTCCGCAATTCTGACTTTTTCCGCTCTTCAGACGTCTTTCTCATAATTCTGACTTTTTTCTCGCAATTCTGACTTTTTTTTCCGCAATTCAGACTTTTTTTCCCGCAATTCTGACTTTTTCTGCAATTCTGACTTTTTTTCCGCAATTTTGACTTTTTTTCCGCAATTTTGACTTTTTTTTTCCGCAATTCTGACTTTTTCTCGTAATTCAGACGTTTTTCTCATAATTCTGACTTTTTTCCACAATTCTGACTTTTTCTCGCAATTCTGACTTTTTTTCCCGCAATTCTGACTTTTTCCGCAATTCTGACTTTTTCTCGCAATTCTGACTTTTTTTCCCGCAATTCTGACTTTTTCCGCAATTCTGACTTTTTCTCGCAATTCTGACTTTTTTTCCCGCAATTCTGACTTTTTCCGCAATTCTGACTTTTTCTCGTAATTCAGACGTTTTTCTCATAATTCTGACTTTTTTCCACAATTCTGACTTTTTCTCGCAATTTTTACTTTTTTTCCGCAATTCTGGCTTTTTCCGCAATTCTGACTTTTTTTCCCGCAATTCTGACTTTTTTCCACAATTCTGACTTTTTCTCGCAATTCTGACTTTTTTTTCCGCAATTCTGACATTTTTTTTCTCGCAATTCAGACATCTTTCTCACAATTCTGACTTTTTCTCGCAATTCTGACTTTTTCTCGCAATTATGACTTTTTCTGCAATTCTGACCTTTTCTCGTAATTCAGACATCTTTCTCGTAATTCTGACTTTTTTTCCGCAATTCGGACTTTTTTTTCCCCACAATTCTGACTTTTTCTGCAATTCTGACTTTTTTATCGCAATTCTGATTTTTTTTTCGCAATTCTGACTTTTTTCTCGCAATTCTGACTTTTTTTGTCACAATTCTGACTTTTTCTCGCAATTCTGACTTTTTTTTCCGCAATTCTGACTCTTTTTTCCCGCAATTCAGACGTCTTTCTCAGAATTCTGACTTTTTTCTCACAATTCTGACTTTTTCCGCAATTCTGACCTTTTTTTCCACAATTCTGACTTTTTTCCGCAATTCTGACTTTTTCTCGTAATTCAGACGTTTTTCTCATAATTCTGACTTTTTTCCACAATTCTGACTTTTTCTCGCAATTTTGACTTTTTTTCCGCAATTCTGACTTTTTCTCGTA